GGAATATTGGGATTGCTAGTCATAACAAATATTACCATGCTCTGGATTGTCGCCTAGAAATACACTGAAAATGAAGGGATCCAACGCCATTGTCTCAGCCGAGTTATTTCTCTTGACCTTCGGCTTTGTCCATCCAGGCTGAACAAACTTCCCGCAATGAGCATCGCCCCTGCTCTCTGTCAGACACACAACTTTGGTCTCACTAGGTCACGGAAAGGGAAAGTGGATGGGAGGTGGTTTCCCCTCCAAAAGAAGGGCACTCACAGAAGTTTAAACAACAGCCAGAAAAACGTAGGGTTAAACAATAAACTAGGAAATGTGCTGTCCTGTTGAACACTGAGCAGTTTCCACAGCATTGAGAATCCGCCAATATATATCATATCAATAAAAAGGAGCTCTTCGAAAGCTTGCATAGTAATTGAGATTGGAGATCTTTTTTGATATGGGTTGGCATTTCCTCATATCAATCTGACAGAGCCAACTCAGGAAATTGCTGGTAATATTCATCTGGGGAGCACTTTCATTAAACGTAATTCATTCGACTTTCACAATAAATTGAGTGACATCCTTACAGCAGAACCTTTTTATCCTTGATGAAGTGCTTGCCAGCCTTTGGTTTTCCACTTTATTGTCACATTCCTTAAAGCAGAATCGTCAACATGTCAATCTGCTGCATGAAAAAAAAATGCTAAAGCTGTATTTACAAAGCACCCAGGAGGTGGTTTAATGCTGACTTACAAGAAGAGCGAACTGGGTGTTAAACTATCTGATAAATCACAGCATAACTTTACCCAAACCCAATCGGGAGAACAGAAGCCAGTCCTAGGGAGGGAAAGATGGCTCACACATTCATTTTCTCCAAGTGCTGGCTATTCCGAGCAATTGGTTTTTCAACCTGCTTCACCGCACTTTCCAAGACGACTGGGAAATTGGCTTTTTGTTAATTAAAATGGCGGTTTAGAGATGCAGGGAAATATTAAAGAGCTTAAAATGGATACCTCTAGGTACCGACTTGGAAGATTTGGCTAGTCAAAGAGAGGCGGGGATATTGGATTATATTTAGGTGCCTCCTTAAAAAGTGAAATCTGTTCCAGACTCCTTTCTCCAGCTATTTAAGAAATGAAAATAGTGTGTACTAAGCACCAGGAAAAAGACATTTCAGTGCGGGGAAACCCCTTAAACTCCTAGCAGAGGTCCCTGGTGGTTAGGAAGGAAGGAAGCCCGGAAAAGAATGCACCATCCTCCGCTTAGCAAAAAAAAACCCTAGAGAGCAGATAAGTTTGTTTCGCCTACACGAGATCCGAGTCCGCTTGCTATTCCCGTGCCTTACCTTCCGAAAGGGTAATTATTCCCCCTACACCACTGTGAAAGCGTCTCTCAAACTCCTTTAGAAAGAGGGAGCGGGATCGTCTCAAGGCTACATAAACTCTTTCGCACAAAAAGCCACTTCTCTCCCTCCGTGCCAAGCGCTCTTCCCCCCCTCTCCGCCTTCGACGTCAAATTGAAAATTGCAAGAAATCGCTTATTTGGGGGGGGGGGGGGGGGGGAGCAATACCCGAATGCTTTCAGCACCAAAAGCCTCTGAGAAAATGCTGTGGGTGGTGATTATGACAGGACAATGCCTTCTCCCTCTTTTGTTTTTTGTTTTCTTTTATCTTCGCTGCCTATAGAGGGTTGGGTTTTTTTCCTCCTACGACAAAGTAGGACACAATCAGCAACTATCTTTAAAAAAAGACAGAAGGAAAAAAAAAATCAACTTATCTTCGCCGGCACGTGATATCTCTTCACGTTCTCCATAGCTTTCATTAACCCGGGTGAAATGACCGCAAACAGTGCGACACAGAGCGAAATTAAATGTACACAAACTCTGGAGCCACTAACCCCAGTTTACCCCCTCAGCAAATATCGTACCAAGTGTGCCACCGCCGAGGGCAATTTTAAACCTCTATTATTCACAACATTTTTTCAGGAAAGCCCCGCTCGGCTCTCAGAAGGCCTCCAAACTACAGTGACGGTGTGGAACAGACCTTAAAATCCCAGCCCGGCACGGGGAGGAGGATAGCGGGCTGTTTCCAAGACCCTCTGCCAGTGCCATCCCCCTGTAAAACAAGGTGCCCCGGGAGCCCCGCAGTTGTACTTCTCTCACAAAGCGCCGGGCAGAGAAGTCCCTTCCTCGCCCCCCCAAACAACCTGCTCTCAGCCCTCGTCGGGGGGGTGAAAAAAGCACCCCTCCATTTGCTCTTGCGCTGCTTAAATTCTGCACGGAGTTAGAACGCTCTGCCAGTCAGCTCTGCTGTGTATCCTAATTTACAAACGCACCGGTGAAGAAACACTTTGCTGGGAAAGACCGGGGGGGGGGGGGGGGGGGGGGGGGGGGGGGGGGGTGCTGAAGGGGGAGGGATCCTTACCCTAGCAGCGTGCAACGCAAAACTCCGACTGGTTTTAGCTCCGTACCCGCTACTCGGGGTAAGGAGGACCTAAGTAGTGAGCCGAAGTCTCTTCGAGCCGGGGTGATCCCAGCAAAACAGGCGCACGTTCTCATCCCTCGCTTGTACCGTGCGGGCAGTTCCCCCAGAGCATGCGAAGGCAGAGCCTGTGAACATGTTGGGGGGGTAAAATCCTGCAACCTGCAAGGCATTTTGCCGCCCGGCGCCCCGGTTTTGCCGGAGGGATCTAGCGCGGGATCTGGCCGGCGGCCGGGGAGCGGCAGGACGGGGCGAGCGCCCGGCGCCGCCGGGAGCTGCCGGCCGGCAGCCCGCCGGTGCCCACCCGCCCGAAGGGTCGGTCTCCTTAGCAGCCGGTACGGAAACGATCTGCCTTCTCCTTTGGGGCCATGCTTGACCTGTCCCAGTGGGAAATAACTAGTTAGGATCCTTGCCGTCTTTGCCAGCAGCCCGCGCGTTTTGTAGCGGCTTCCAGAGCATGTTGCTTCCACCCGGAGAAAAAAGAAATGAAAAGAAACAGCCTGGTGTTTTAACGTCCTGTGGTGTCGGACTGGAAATTCACCGGCAACTAGGCGGGAATTAAACGAGAAGGTTTCCATTAAGGGAAAGGTGTAAAACCCCCGTGTCCTTATAAACAGACAGAGCTCAGACCTAAAAGAGTCTAGGATCTCCGGGTGGCTTTTTCTTTCTTAATATTTACGTGCTTCCTTAATGACGATTTTGAGCTCGGCAGAACACTGTTAGCTAAGAAAACATTATCCGTTAGAAGAGGACCAAGATGCTTTCGAAAGAACAGCGGTGGAGTCTCCTGGTAAAAAAGACCGACTGTAGCTGTTTGAACACTTTCTGCAGCTCTCTAAACGTAAAGAAAGAAAATAACTGCAAGCCTTGAAAGGTTAACTTCTAATTCTACCAAATAAGTACTAAGTTATCCATTTAGGCCAAAGGAAATGCACTTCCACTGCAAATCAAATCTAAGGTTTTCAGTACACTGCACAGTTCGAAACAAGGAGAAAATGCATGTCTCACAGAGGCTAACTAATGTTCTTATCAATAAACATAATACGGCGAACCATCTCTACCCCAGCAAAATTCCTCCTCGTTCTGGTCGGCCGTGACCTCTATAAATTTCAGGCAATAAGGCTGCATGGCATATGGCTCTATTAAAAGAGGGGAGAAAAGCAGAAGCACTTTTTTTTCCCCCAAGATTTCATTAGCAAGAGGTTTAACGGTGGGGAAAAAAAAAACAGCAGTGTTTGCTGGGCGAAGAGAAATTACAAGCCAGCGAATGTCTGTAAATGAGTAACTTCGAGGCAGCCCAGCCTCGCTGCGGCTGTTCCCTATCACTGAACACCGCCTAGTTCAGGGGAAACATGCTATTTTCCCTCTTCCCTATATTATTAACCCCACTCAAAAGGATTTTTTAACAATCTGGATAGGAAGCTGGTTGTGCTGCCATTTCATTTACCCTTCCTAACAGGTCGGGTACTGAAAATTTAATTCCTAATTGAAAGTGCTCTAGTCGACCCAGAGCGATGCGCACACACAGATAGGCACAACGAAGTGCTGCACCTTGCTGGTTTGTGGCACCACATGAAAGCTTTAATGAAAACTTCATGTTTCGATGCTAATAAACAGTTTATTATCACGCGATGGCCTAATGCAAACTTTCAGAGTCACTCATGAAATACAGAGAATAGGGAGAGATTGGCATAAAACTGGAAGTATCGACTCAAAGAAGAATCGGGTTAGACAGGGAAATCCTGTGGATCCCCCCGAGTGTTTTGGCAGAAGACACAGCCCAGCCGAAGAGCACATCCCCTCCCCCTAGCTTGTCTTTTATTCCCGATCTTTTTTGTGTGTGTGTGTCATATTTCGCATTGTTTCAAGGGAAACTGGAAAATCGTCTCCTTTACTCTGCAATGCCAAGCCCTCGGAAAAAAAAAAAAAAAAAAAAAGCAGCATTCAGGTAATGAAGTCTGTAACTAAACGGTAATTGAATCAGCATAATTTGCACACTGAATGGTTTTCAAATGCTCCCAGTTTACAATTAAAGGAGAATTAATGCGCTTGTTGTTCAGACTGCAGCGCATTAGAATAAATCCAGCACTGTTGTTGTAATGAGTCGAGAGCAGTTTAACTGCCTGCAAACACATTTAAAATTTAACACGACGTATCGATCTCGCTCCGGCTTTTTGATAGATTATTTGCCACGCACTTTTCTCCCCGCTTCCCCCCC